CCCCCCCCCCCCCCCGATTCCAACGAGATTGCATGCAAAACGGAGAAACTAACTGGTACCGGCTGAAACTCCACTTTTTCATCTCGTATTTTTCTGCAGACGGCTTAATTCGTAAAGGAAAGTAATTTAATTACATCTCTTACTTTTTCATTTTGGTCTTAGATTTATAATCATCGAGATTACCGACGAGCTAGCGTCTAATCGGAGAATTTCCGCCGACGAGCTTCTAATTGGCCCTTTGCATTCCCGCCGGCCGCCTCCTTTGCGTGATTAAAGTTTAAATCAGGTGTGTTTATGCCTTTACATAAACTATACTTTCAACATGTTAAGTTATTGCTATTAATTAAACAGCGGCAGATTTAGAACTTTTTAGTACAACTGTGCAGTACACTATACATTTGCGACGTACAAAACCGATTGCCACTGAATCACTGATATTGAATTGAAATGAGTAAATATTAAATAAAGATACATTAATAGGCTTCTGTTTATTGTCCATAAAACCATTGATGGTCTACTAACCATTTACGCAATTTCTTATTTTGGTGCCCTCTACTTTATATCCATACATCTTTTTAGGAAACGTACGACGTTCAATTTTGTGTGTCATTACTCTGAGTTTGGACCATATATGCACCATTATGCGATAAATGGAGCTTGCAACTTTATATTATTGTTTAATGCATGCAAGAAAGGAGATGCACTTACACATAATAAAAAGTTTGTAACTCTTATCTATATATCACATCAATAAATAAAAGGGTAGCTCGGTGCACTAAGCTCGTGCTATGAGCGAGGTCCGGGAAAGGGCTAGACTATAAGGGATCGTTTGATAGGAGGTATTAGAAAAAATAATGCAAGCAGCAGCTCTATGCATTACTAATACATCCTACTTTGCATTATCCTATGCATAAGTAATGCATAGAAAACCATGGCATTAGTAATACCAAGGCTATTAATGCATGCAATGCATGATTAAAGATAAAATTGTCCTTAAAGTCCCTTAAAGCTAGAGAATATGGAGGACATTATTGTAAACAATTATTTTTCTTAAAAATTATGCAATGCATTATAATTTTAATATACCACATCAAACAATAGATAAGAAATAATATCTCCATAACTAATGCTTGCACTACTAACACATGCATTATTAATACACCTTATTCCTCACTATTCTTATACACCCTACCAAACGACCCCTAAGGATTTATTCTACGCAACCTTACCCTGCATTTCTGCAAGAGATTATTTCCACGGCTTGAACCCGTGACCTCTGGGTCACATGACATTAACTTAATCAGTTACGCGAAGGCTCCTTCTATATCGCAATAAATGTTTTGTAAAATGGTGCATATATGGCATTGGCGTCACAAATTTAGATGACTACACATTGGGCTAAATGTGATTAGCTCGTTCAGAATATTCGGAAGGTTAAACGTTTTGGTCTTGAACTTGATTTGCTTATGGGGGTTTCTAAGCACTAAGCAAAGGAAAAGTGGAGTCAAAAGGACAAAAAAGGAAGTGAATTCCATATCACCAAACCACCACCACTTCACTGCCAATTGGAGCAATTTCATTACTCATTCACCACTAAATAAAATATTTTTAACTCTTTGTTCTTTGTATCTTGGAGATGAAAACCTTTTCTTCTCGATGTTGTCATTGTAGCATCTTTATGTCAACATTCTCTTCTTTTGTTCCTAAAAAAAGGATATTGCGTCACATAGATTAGCTGATGATCTGGATCAAATATTGAAGGGACCTGAAGTACTATTATTGCAGTCGTTGCTTTTTAATTATAAGTATTGGAAATATGTTACAATGGAGCATAAGGGATGATTTAAAAAGAATTCATTTAGTTGACCTTAGCAAGCTACTTTTAAGATTCAGATTTTTATTTATTATCAGATCATATAAGATAAGGAGCTTATGTTGCTTGATCACGCCCAACTATGCCTTATAAAAAGGACTAAGTAGTCGTTGCAAATATAATCCGATTTACAAGTCCGGAGTCGAATCCCATAGAGAACTAAGGTTTAGCTACAACTGTTCACTATCACCAAGAAGACAAGTTCGAATAATTTCTAAGTTATAAATATTAAGATTCTTATGTCTAACTAATTAACTAAAAAATTAAAATAGTAAATTAACGACTAAAGATACTAAGGATCGGAGACAAGATTAATAAGGTCTAGAGTTGTGATTTCACCAATTGTCGAAATCCTTCCAGCTACGCCTCATATAACTTCGTCTAAGTATTTTCTATCGATCGTGAGTACTTCGGGTGTTGTAATTCTCTTCCGAGCAAATAAAACAATATACTAGACGTACTCTTCCGAACTACGCTAGCTAGCACTAGTTTACCGCTACTAAGATCGCACCAATATTTCATTATTCCTAATCCCACCTTTAAACCCTTCGTATTGATTCCTCACATACGTTAAGAGTGATGTTGTTCAACAACTACCTAAGTATGTACCCTTTCCCAAGCAATACATAATAAATAGGCACAGTCAATTGATGACCATTCAATCAACAGACATAAGCATGTAGTTGAACAAGTAAAGAAATTCAAAGGCTAAATTATATTCAAACTTAACAAGAATTCAACCTCCAAAAGGTTCTATCAAAGTCCTAAATAATAAATTAGCTACTCATAGTAGTATGTGAAAATATAATACTAAAATTCATAACCAACAATAGAAAACCGGAAGAAGAAAGGAAAAAACTCGTGGTTGAATCTTCCTCCTTACTCCTAGTGTATTCTTGCCTCCATAAGTGTTGTATTCTTGCCTCCATAGATGTTGTGTAACCCTAAAGTAGTGTCTCATCCTCTAAAGTTACTTAGGATGTATTTATATGACCTAAGGTAGGGTGAAGGGCCGTCCAAAGCAATCCAAAATCGAATAGGAGAATTGGAGGGCACGTCTGCCTTCACGCAACGCACGACCATAGGCGCGGACTTAACTTTTGCAATTTTTCAATTCGGGAAGCGATCCGTGCCTTTGCTTTGCTTCACTGTTTTGTGCCTTCATTTTTCTTCTTTTTCGCGTCCATTCTCGTGCCACGCACGAGATTGGACGAGTTCCCAATTCTTTCCATCTCTTCCTTTTTGTGTCAAATTGTCATCTTTTGATAATTTATTATCCAAACTCGTTCCTACGCATAAGAAACACATTAACATGCAAATTTACTCAAAAATATATATTTTTCATCATTTATCATTGTTCGGACACGGGTGTGGATCTACATATTGAATTAATTATCACTTTAATTTTCGAATTTTAGGATACAGATCAACGTCACTCTTAAATGAACAATAATTATTGTGTAATTATAATTTGTTTTTTTGCTTGTTAGTTTAATTAAATATTCATGAGCTTACCTGTTACTACTTAATTTCATTGACAATGTACATTTTTGAGAATTCAACACGAGTTCGACAATATATTTTAAAAAAATATGAGTTCTTTCCTCTGTTATAGTTGTAAGTTTTAATGCATACTGCGTACGTGGTAATGTTTATCAGTTTGTTCCAATGAACATTCACAAGCTGCACATTTTACCTACTTGATGCCTTGCGTGGTTTTGGTCTCATTCAGCACCTAAGGCACACAAATCAAAGTTTGGGCGTAACGGTGCTGTAAAGCATATATAGTACTTTTCTACTTAAGGAAACTTTTTTTTCTTCTAAAACTTTTACATAGTAAAAATAAATTAAATCTCTTCCTTAGTTGGCCTTCGTAACACTAATTTCTTTTAGGTTTTTTATGTTCATCTCTCGTATTTTTAATTTAAAAATAAATTCTGCGAAAGCCTATCTTCTACGTTTTCTTTTGAACGTTTTGTTATGTTCCCAACACACAATTTTCAGGGAAACAAAAATTTGATTTTTCAATTTAGGGAGAAAAAAAGAAAGAATAACACACATACGAAAAGGATTGTTCTTACTTCTTAGGGTTAAACCATAATCTATTTGTAAAGAAAACGCCAAATTCCGTTAAACTCGAAGTTATAGCAGTCATGTTTTCCTGTTTATAATTGAATAGATTGTTTCCGTATTTATCCAATTTGCAGTAAGTAGTAAATATATGTTTCTGAACCATATTACCTGGCAAGTTTTAAGGTAATCCAAGTGGTTGCAACTGCCATATGTCAAAGCACAGTAAGCATTAATACGCAACATCATGAAACTAACATACGTTTGGGAGTCAGAAATGTTATGAGCTTTTTTGCATGAAGACACAAATAAAAGTATCTATAATTAAACGTCACGACACTGCCAACTTAAAACGTGGAATGCTATATAATGTATGCTTTTTAGACTTACAAAAATTCATCAACAACTTTGCTAAAAGGAAATTTAGTGATTGTCCACTGTTCCATTTTAAAGTCTTTTATAAAAGTTCATTATCTTACTACTCAAAGTAACTTCTTTCATTTTTTTTTAGTATAGCCATAGTTTCTGAGCCAACTTATATTTTTGAATATTATATTCTTTTACAAATTTTTCTTATTAATATATGACGATTTGATGTACGAAGTATACGATATTTATGCAGGAAAAGAGTGTGATATAGGCATTCTATTTTGTTGTAAACATCAAGTACAAGTTGATTTCACGACTCGCTTCCGTAACTTATAGGTCACGCGAAGATAACTTTACTGTTAGTTCGAGATCCCCTTCTTTCTTATCGATATAGGTACGACAAATTTTTGTCTACCAAGATTTGAAGTAAATCAGAAAAGATCAAGATTTTTTTTATTCTTTATATTGACAATATCGGAGTCAGTTTGCTTTCATTTCTGAGTACTATTTAACAAATATTTAGTAATTGTATCTTATCAACGTGCGACAAAAATCATAACTTTTTTTTTCCTATGCTACATATCATAACACTTGAGTGCTTTTGGTCTAGTGTTCCATAATACGTCTCTAAAAAATTAAAGTTGCTTGTCTTACTTACTGAAAGAGACTTACCTTCTTTTTTCTACTTATAAATCACTATATATGTTGTTAATTGCCTTGTTGGAATTGAGCCAATCTGAATATAAAGACATCATTTGAGTACGGCACTATATTAATACTGTGTGTTTGTTTGTGTAGCACTGACTGAAATACTAAGAGCAGATCGATGAAAGCAACAATAACATATTATTAACCTCGCTCTCCTCTCCAATCCCTCCTTTTGTTTCAACTTATAAGATCATTCTTTCTAAATCACCTCATGGCTGGCGGACAAAGTCGGTCAAGTCTCAACAAACCATGTATTCTCCTCATAGGTAATTTAATCTTCAGTTTGTTCCTAGATTTTAATCTCCTCTTACTTCGCTGTCACCAGGATGTCACGGTTGGAGCCGTGAAAATTGCCATATTGTAGTTCGGCTCTTTTTCGATACGAAAACTTAGTGCATCGGACTGTTTTTTTGCTTCGTAATTCTCGCCATAAACTTATCTTTCATTCTTGCATATTTACATATTGGACGTGTTTTGTATTTGGCAGTGATAGCGGGAATGGAGAGGTTTGCATTTAAAGGGGTGGCGTCAAACTTAGTGACATATCTAACAGATGTGGCCAAAATGAGTAATTCAGCGGCGGCAAAGAAGGTTAACAATTGGTGTAGTATTACGTCTATGCTTCCACTCCTTGTTGCTCCATTAGCTGATTCTTATTTGGACCGTTACACCACTGTACTGGCTTCTTCCTCTCTCTATGTTGCCGTAAGTACTTTCCGTTCTTTACATTTCTACAACACCAGTAAGGTATCAGTGGAGAAACTAGGAATTTACTCGAGGGTATTTAAATTTAAAGGAAGTGAAAAAAATTCCGATAAAGGGCGTTCAATATGTGTTATATACCTCTAAAACGTAATATTTTATCTATATACATAGTGTAATTTTTCGACGAATGGTGGTCAAAATTTTTGTGTAATAAAGTATTTAGTTCTTGATAAGGAGGAAACTTCTAGTCTAACACGGGTCTAAAATTGTGTTAGGTTGCCAGTTTGAATCTCATAAAACGTGATATTCTTGTAATTTTTTATCCTCTTATTATAATTTTTAGTTTCTCTTCTGTATGTCCATTAATTTTTAAAAAATCCAAACATCTCAGTGATAAATAAAGTAGACATTTCTCAAACTAATTGCACTCCTTCAAACTATATGTTAGGAGCTATCCTGGCTATACCTAATATAGTATATTCTTTTTATTAGGGAACTAGTGTCTATGTCAATTAAATTAGGTGTGATTTTTTTTGGTCAAAGACGGGAAAAAAATTTGATCTTCGAAAAGATTACTTTTTGCCACTATTGAGGAAGAAAAAAAAAATTATGCTGATTCTGTTGCGTATTTGGGTGTGACTAGTGTTAAATTAGTGGATTATCTACACGTTGATCATTAGCAAAAGCCACGGTGGACCGTGGATGTGCAGCCTGAGTCATCACCCACCTTTTTTCATATGTAGAGCGCAATAACGTTGCATTAATAACCTAAATCTTGCACGTAATAAATGTATCTTTATCAAAGTTTTTTTTTTAAAAGTATGTATACAGTTTTAAGTTTGTTTTTGTCAACTCATTTACGTACATTATTGCTGTTTCAGGTGTGACTTATTGTATCAGCGCATTTATTATGTCTTCCCAGTGCATAATGCATAAAGATTTAATTTTGCCACTTCTCAGTTTTCATTTTTTCTGAGAATAATTACTGTTATAAACAGTTGATTTGAAATAGTTTGTTTTGTCCTCTAAACAAGGGCAACCCGGTGCACTAAGTTCCCGCTATGCGCGGCATCCGGGGAAGAGCCGGATCACAAAGGCCTATCGTGCGCAGCCTTACCCTGCATTTCTACGGCCCGAACTCGTGACCTCCTGGTCACATGACAACAATTTTACTCCTTGTTTCGTCCAAGGAGTAAAATTTTAAAACTATCGTACGTTGAACCTCAGTTCTTGGTTATTCTTGAATACTTACAATTTAGTATTGCTGGCGGTTAATGAAAGACATTTAACATTAACAAATGTAGTACAAAAGTTGCAGTTTCCTAGCAGCATATGACCAGCAGATTAGTACTATACTATATTATAGTGACATCTAAAAGGAGATATTAACAATAACTCTCTTTGACAAAACAATCAGGGTCTTTTAGCTTTGACATCATTGGCATTACAATGGCCATGGACTAATTCAGCTGACAAATCTGGCTTCTGTTCATCCTTATCATGGTCTCTGAATTTAATTTCACTTGGCCAAGCCGGTTACAACCCGTCATTGCAAGCTTTCGGAGCAGACCAATTTGACGATGATGAAGAACTGCCGAGCAGTAAAAATGATCAAAGTTCAAAGAAGAAAAGTTCCTTTTTTCAATGGTGGTATTTTGGTATATGTTGTGGCAGCCTGCTCGGCGTATCAATCATGTCTTATATACAGGACACATTAGGATGGGGCTTGGGTTTCGCCATTCCTTCAATTGCAATGGCAATATCAGTTATAGTCTTCAGATTTGGGAATCGATTTTATACACACAAAGATGGAGAAATTATTCATATCAAGTCATTGGGAGATCATATCGTTAAAGCTGTTAAAGCAGCTACCTCAAGATTGACCTGTGGTGAGATTGCTGTTCCAACATATACTAACAAGTCAAATGTCGTTGAGATCGAGTAAGTATTTCTGTAAATATTTTTTTTGCGAGTTCAAAATTCTACGCACGGATAATACAAAATATATAAATTTCTTGGCCGAGTGACCAGTGGCGGAGCCACCTTATAGTACAGTGTGTAGGTAGATAAAAAAAAATTATATGTATATATATATATATATATATATATATATATATTATGTATTGACTCTCCTTAATTTCCTGGTATGTTTACTTTTATATATTTTGACACCCCTTAACGAAAATTCTGGCTCCGCCAATATATATAGTATGTATTCCTTGAAGATGATTATATAAATATCTTGGCACCCTGAACACTTAAAGCTTTTAGGGGACACTAGTTACTTTACCCTGCCTGTTAACCGCGGAAAAATCAAATATATAGTAGTGCCCCTGTTGTATTAAAATCCTGGGTCCACCTCTGCATATAACGCCATTTTCTTGAAACAAGAGGAGATATTGCTCTCTGTCTCAGGGTTAGAGAACAGAGGTAGCAGATATCATCTGTTAAAACAGATAATAATCCATCAGTGATAGCAGCCATGAATTTGTGCGAGAAAAGTAAGACTTTCCTTTTTATGTAAATAACGTAACATCAAAATGTGAATGTGCATTCGTTATGTAATACTAATGTTTAGTAAAGGAAGGTTTTCTACAACAGAAGAAATTTTATGGTAACTCAATTTCTTCGCAGCTTTAGTTGCTTACTTATATACGTATGTTGGTAAGATTACAATGTTACTTCACAGGATAGGTTGGAACTAAACCTGATTTTGGGAGATTCTTTATTTGCACTGCATGCAAGCTGTAAAGAATAATTCACATTATTTACACAAACTTTTATAACCTTTCACTGATGCCACTTTTCTAAGTTTTATACTATCTTTTTTTTATTTTTTATTTTTTTTATTTTGTTACTTTTTTATTTACAGCAAATACTAATTTTCGAAACTCCTAAAATACTCCCACTGACGTTGAAATGATCAATAGAAAAATGGCTTTGTCTTGGGATGTAAATACAATTTGTAATGATGTGTGGCATCAAGGGATTACCTGGATGAAGTCTCTGTTACGTATACAATTAGGAAATATAAAAAGACTATTTATTGTTGGATTAATCCATCTCCATTAGATTGTTGGGACGAAGTGCGGGAGAAATTTAAAAATAGCCAGATTTACAAGTGGTCGTTCAAAAATAGTCATAATTTTAAAAATAATCGAAATTTAGCCATTTTTTATGTAAAGATAAATCTAAACGAAAACATTGTTCAAAATCCGGAAAAATACTCCAGTATAATATACTGGAGTTCCAATATATTATACTGGAACTCCACTCTAATATATTGGAGTTCTAATATAATATACTGGTCCAGCATAATATACTGGAGCCAGCAAAATATACTGGTCCAGCATAATATGCTGGAAGTTCATACACAGGTGTACCGAACTCCAGTATATTATGCTGGACCGGTCTCTGTTGCAGCAAAATAATGCCTATTTTTCAATGACTTGATAAACACTGGCTATTTTTGAATGACCAGTCCGAAAAGTGGCTAGCCCGTGCTATTTTAACATGAAGTGCACATACGGCTGTTTTTAGGACCACTATTTAACATATAGCCAAAGGTTACAAAGTATTTAAAACTTAGCCACCTCAAAATCTTTGGGCGGAAGTTTGGCTCTGATAGTTCAAAACCAATCAAACTTCTCTCTGAATGGCTAAAGTTTTGAACTATTATTGTTGAACTTCAGACCCGTTATTGTTGCTTGCACGACTTCACAAACACTGTTTGCACTATCATCTCAGACAAGTAGGCACTCACATTCACTGTAGCCCAATTCATGTTTTGACGCCACAAGGTCATGTTTGTAATGATTATTCAAAAAATTGCAGGCCGGTAGGATGAATTTTCGTGTTCCAAATTGTCTAATAAGGACCATGTTGGGTTGATGCATTCCACCGTCGGAATCGTGATGACACCTAAATTTCACTTGTTAGTCAAACTAACATTAGACCAATTTATCCATTTTCAACAGTTTAAAAATTAAGTAATAAAAAATAACTGAAATAACTGCAATAATCCAAAGTAAAGGGCGGAAGTTCTAACAACTAGAATATTTGATACAACCCGGAACCCGATGTCACAAGTTCAAAAGCTACTAGAATAGTACAAACAAGGGTCTGAATAAAACATAAAGCTGTATGAAGGAAAATACACAACTATATAAAAGAAAAAATGGGACTCTAGGAGCTGCTGACGCTGAGTAGTNCATAAGAATGAAATAAACATTCAAAAGTATTTATAAAGGTTCTTGATCCTTCATGAGTTTTCAACATGAAAATGGCATATAAGAATAACATAAAAATCTGAAATTTATGCACATAGATCCAAATAATCATCTAAACTTTAGCTAGAAAATAATTCTAAGCTAATAGGTACTTACTACTCCCATTAAGTATATATTAACTCTTTAATGCAATTCATCAAACACCTTGTGTGCGTGCTTTTGTAAGTTAAACCACTTTAGTAAAGGGTTATATCAACTCACCTCAATACTCCTTGAGCCAATACGTAGACCCCAATCCAATTTATACCCATCAAACAATTGATTCTACAACAAATAGTGCATTTTAATTAATTTCAAAGTTTCACACCTAAACATGGGATTTACTGTTGATACAGAGAAGGAAGGGAATTAACTATTCAATTCTTACCTATTACTACTGTAGGGTAATTGACAACAAGAAATTTTATATACCTGAGTGCAAGAATTAATGAATTGTAAAGAACCCTAGAAATTGGATTGTCTACGTGAATGGTCGCTGGAACTTATTGCTTCGGCCCTTAGTCTAATTATTGAATTGTTGCTTTACATTTCTTTGAAACCCACTTCCTTTGCCCCCTTTTTGTGCCAGGCTTTAAGCCATTTTCCTTATCTTACGTCCAACCTATTCTATGGGCTTTAAGCCCAATTTTAAGTCTTTAACTTTTTTTTTAACTTAACTAATAATTAATGATACCCACTTTTAATAAGTAATAATATTAAAATTATTAATATTTTTCTAATTGTATATCCAATTATTTAAGTGTGTGTAGACACACACACACACACACACACACACACACACATATATATATATATATATATATATTCACTATAGGCAAGAAAATAATAATAATAATAATTTAATTATATAATTAACGTGTCTCGAAACTTTTATTAATATAAGGAGCGTTACATTATTGACTGTGACATTCTTTTTCCTTATGAGATGACTCTATCAGTCATAACTCATATGGGGGCACAGTCCAAATGACGGATAAGTTACGCATCCTGTTATACTTTGATGATCTAACAAACTTACTCTTAAAAATTATTTGGGGAATCTGTTCCACATCCTCAAGTACTCAAGAATAACAAATCTCAAGTCGGCGACATGTTTCAACATTTCAGAGTACAGATGGACATCAATTCCCTTGCTGATTGTATCAGTCAATCCCCACAGCTGTAAAATCACTGTAATTGTTGCTCTGCACACACGCAACAATGCAAACAGTGCAACAATTACTTTATAGGAAATGTCCTTGTACCAAACATGCTTGCATCATTCAATGATGTCACTTATGCAATATTAACATGAAGCAAAGAAAAAACATCACACTTGCACTTTCTAGAATTCAGCAAGCTTTCTCTCAAGTGTGTCGCAATCTTGCAGGTGACTATCAAGGGCATCAAAAACAAAGAACAACATAACAAAGGACCAGTTTTCTGCATTGAGTCATTATATGTCCTTAGTTGCGTTGCACCTTTGTTAAAGTGTTTCATTTGTAATTCCTACTTACCTTAGTTAGAACCATTGTGTAGAAAACTTTTGTAAAACCATAAACCTTGTGTTTGTGTCTTGGCTAGAGTTAATCGAGTTGTAAGCTTTGTAATAGTGTATTTCAAAGGGGCTTGTGATAGAGTTATTCCAAGTTAGTGAGGGATTAAGAGGTTAATTTCTATGTTACAATAGTTTGTAATATGAAGTTTGCTCAGTAGTGAAGTTGAAATCCTACGAGGGTAGGCCATAGTTTTTAATCTCGTGAGTTGGGAGTTTTCCACGTAAAACTCTATTATGTTATTTAATTATTGATGTGTGTGTTCTGTGGGAACTAATAGAGAACCTGGTTCTCTATATAGTTTGGTGGACCCTTAGCTTCTATCAATAACCAAAATACTTAGTCACTTTAATAAAATAAAAAAACCGTTTGTTTACTGCTCCCTCTATAATAAAAACAGAGCTATTATTGGTTTGATTTGGTAAGAATACTAAAAAACAAACAAGCAAATAAGAAGATGGTTTTGATAGAATGGGTTAGGTTATAACACATTAGGCCCAAATTGACCCAACACCATTTTCCTGACCAAATTTTAAATCATGACCACTTCAATACAATCTAGCCCAAATTTGACCAACTAGCCAAAATGACACTTCTATGGTTTTACTACTACTCAGACAGGTTCATCAAAACAATTTCTTTGGTTTGAAGCTAAGTATACTAAAGAATATAAACGTGAAAATTGTTTTCGTGATTGTGGCAAATATTAGCACTATTTTAGGATTAGAAGAGTTGATGAATAATAATTTGGTATAAAAAATAATTTGCAGAAAGTGCACACGAAATTAAACAAAGATCCAATAACGAGGTACTCCAGGCATATATAATAGACGGCAACTAAATACAGGTTTATCAACAACTTCTACGTTCGTTGCAGGTAATTCGAATGAACAGCCAACATTTTTTAGTTTCCCACCCGATTTCTGGTAAAATTACACGGAACGTCTTAGTTGGTTGCTCCCATTTAACCTGTACCTACTTTTTAATTTTTTTTAATTTGTACCTATTGTTTAAACAACTCGGGTAACAGTGATTTTGTATGGTGTTTGTGAACATATTTTAAGGTAGTTTATGATATTTTACAGTGGTGAGTTGTTGTGGCGCTTTATTTTTTACTATTGCTTAGGGTTTCTTCATTCTTTTTCTTAATTACAAAACGGATTCGTTAGATTTATTGATGTTTTGACACATTGATGATTGAGGTTTGTTCTTGATGATATTTGAAAATTATGTTTCAAATTTGTGTTCATTTGGAGGAGATTTAGGTATTAAATCGTATATTGGATTGTTAAAATTCGAAGAACAAATTTCTGTTTCAGGGTAATTTGCACTTCAGGCCTATTTGGCCTTAA